GGTCACCTCCGGGGCAGGCGGGAATCGAACTCATGCGGAAGTGGCTTTAGCTTCTCAGTGCTGTGCTTTAACCCGCTTTGCCACCAGGGAGGGCCAGGAGAAGCTTTTTTGAAAAAATAAATATTGAGCTGAAATTCAGAGGAGAGGGGAAGGAAGTTCTCAGGTAGAGTACATATTATGTGCAAAGATCTTTTGATAGGAAGTACTATGGAGAGGACAACATGGAGTGAAAGAAAGAGTGTGGTGCAGAATAAGGCCAGAGAGTTAGGCAGAAGGAGCCTGGGGACTCAATGACCTTTAAATCAATAACAATAATATCTTTTCTTCATATCAAGAAAATTTTGTATTTTAAGAAGAATGAGTAACTATAAACATTTCATTATATAGTTACTTGGTAATATTTGCATTCTGAAAAGCTCATTTGACTTGTAGTATATTAAAATAGGACAACCACAGTAGTCAGAGAAATGAGTGGTTTCAGATGGTCGTGGTGGCAATGAGGAAAAGAAAGTGGATGGTTTTAAAAGCTCTTTTAAGTTTTAAACACTGGATTGATGGGATATGATATTGACATTCTTGGAAAGACTCCATTTTCCATTGAATTGAAAAAAAATCAGTTCACCATGATCATGCAAGTCTCTTTCTGTACTTTGTTTCCTTGATCTACTTGTCTGTGAATTCACCAATATAACAATGGTTTGATTATTATAGCTTTATAGTATACATTAGTTTGGGTGGTATAATTCCTCCAATTTTGTTACTATTTTTCAAAGTTGCTATTCTAATTCCTTTACTTTTCTATATAAAATTTATAATCATCTATAGCTAAGAAAAACTTGAAATTTTGATTGAAAATGTGTGAAAGCTCTGCATCAAATGGGGATGAATTAATATTAATACTATGTTAAGTCTTCTAATACAGGACATGATATCTCCACTAAATAGCTCTTCCTTGATTATTAACATTTTTTAGTTTTCAGCAAACAGATATTGTACATGTTATATGTATTTCTAAATATTTTTTTGCAGATATTTTACATAGTATTTAAAGCTATTTTTTCCAGTTGTCCACTGTTAGTAAGTACAACTATGATTGCTTTATGCACTAACCTTGTATTCTGAGTTTTTACTAAATTCACGTTTTATCTCTAGGAGATTTTTTCCCCCCTGCAATTTCCTTTATTGCCATGTTGACTGCACATAAGAATAGTTTTATTTCTTGGACTCTAACCTCTTTTTTTATCTTGTCATCCTGTTCTGGCTCAGACTTTCAGTATGATGTTGGGTAGGAGTGATGAGCATATATACATTTGATATTCTGATTTAAGGGAAAGCCGTCTAATGTTTCACCATTTAAGTATGATTCTAGTTTCAGTTTTTTTTGTAGAAGTTTACTTTTCTTAGTTTGCTGACTTTTTTTTTTTTTAAGCTTTATTTATGCATACAGAACTGGGTTATAGGCCAGAGGTGCAGAGACAGTGAGAGGATTCACCAGAGGCAGGTTGGGGAGCAGAACAGGCCAATTGATGAAGTCCAATCGATGGAGCAGCGGGCGGGTCAGGAGAGGTCAGCTGCGCCATGTGGGTCACCTCCCAGGCGGGGATCAAACTCATGCTGAAGTGGCTTTAGCTTCTCAGTGCTGTGTTTTAACCTGCTGCGCCACCAGAGAGGGCCCTATTTTCTTAGGTTCTTAAGATAGAAACTTAGATTATGTTGAGCCTTCTGATTAAGAGGCTTAATTCTAATAAATTTCTAATAACCTCTTTTGCTCTCCCATCAATGTTAGTATTTCATATTTTCGCTTTAATTTAGATTAAGATATTTCTAACTTCTTTTGAGATTTCCTCTTATTCCTGGCTTATTATGTATTTATCTGGGGCATTTAGGTGTTTATTTTTTACTTTAATTCCCATGAATTTGGAGATTTTCCTGTTATATTTCTGTTACTTAGTTCTAGTTTTATTCTAAAATGATCAGGTATTATGTATTATTATTTAAATTTGTTGAGGTTTTTAAAATGATTTTATTTTTAGAAATCAGTAAATGGTATATCTTAGTGAATGTTTCCTGTGTATGTGGAAAAGAAAGTATACTCTACCATGATTTGATAGAAGGTACTAGATGTGTTATATGCAGTTACAAATCTTTATTTTAAAAATTTTCTTCACTCATTTCCATTATTTACTAAGAAGGGAGTATTAAAAGTCTTTAATTTTGCATTGAAAAAATGTTACTGGATGCTGTCCATTAAATCTTTTGTTATATTGTTTTAAAATTTACTTAATAATGACTTTTCTCTTTTTTAAAAAAAATTAGCCAAAGAGAAACTCACTTTTTTTCACAGCCTTCTTTAGGCAGTTTGATTATTTTGAATGTGTATGTTCTTTGATTGTCATGTTTTGTTAATATTCTTAAATAGGTGGAAAACCAAAATCTTTTAGAGGAAAAGAGACAGTTTGAGAAGATTATTGAAGAATTAAAAGGAACAGAACAAGAACTAACTGGTCTTCTCCAAAACAGCGAGGTTTGTTTAAAAAGCCTACATTTTTTTTTTTTTAAATATTTTGTTAGGGCCCTCCCTGGTGGCACAACATGTTAAAGTAAAGCACAACTAACTAGCCTCAGTCCCTTCAGATCGATTCCCGACCAGGCAGGTGACCTGCTTTGAGCAGCAGACCTCTGACACGCCCGTTGCTCCCCTTAGCAGTGTGCTTTGTTGTTCTGCTCCCCGCTCTGTCTCTGGTGATTCCTCTCAACCCCTTCCCCCCCAGCCTCTGGCCTGTAACCCAGTTCTTTATGCATAAATAAATAAATCTTAAAAAAATGTTTTGTTATTATAGTACAGATTTACAAAATAGACTATAAGGTATCAGCTTTGTGAAAGATTTCACCACACAATTCTTCTGAAAGTATATGTTTCTGTTACATTTAATATGCTAATGATTGATTTTAAATCAGATTTAATAGGAAATTTATGATAGGAGACCCTATTATGTGGCAGAGAAAGATTAACATTTGAAATATCAATGGTTTGCATAATGCTCTGATTTATAGCAATTATATTTCTTACTGTCTTTCCTAATGGATATATTTAAATTTTAGTTTTTAAGTTCTTAGACAATAGTTTTAATAGTGCTCAGCTTACATTTTTAGAATGTCTTATTTTTAGAATGTTTTCAGTTCATAATAGTATTACATCCTTTTAGTAAAAAAACTTAGTTTTTAAGATACCTTATTATTATTATAAATCTCCTTAAAAATGTAAGATTTTAGGCCCCTCCCTTGTGGTATAACGGGTTAAAGCACAGCACTGAGAAGCTAAAGCCACTTCAGCATGAGTTTATTCCCTGTCCACCCCAGAGGTGATCCACATGGCGCGGCAGACCTCTCCTGGCCCGCCCGCTGATCCCCTCAGTAGTGCCCTTCATCGGTCTGTCTGTTCTGCTCCCCACTCTGTCTTGGTGAATCCTCTCACCTCCCTTGTACCTCTGGCCTGTAGCCCAGTTCTGTATGCATAAATAAATAGATCTTTTAAAAAAGATATGATTTTAATAGAATTTAATTACTTGTAGAGTAAAACTGATGAAAACATTTTACTATATGTAATTTTTTGGATAAATATTAGTTGATAGAATGTACTTACAATGCATTTGTGACTGCTCTTTGGTTTTTTTTTTTTAAGATTTATTTATGCACACAGAACTGGGGTACAGGTTAGAGGTTCAGAGGTGGTGAGAGAATTCACCAGAGTCAGAGCAGAATGGGGAGCAGTACAGGCAGATTGATGAAATACACTGCTGAGGGGAGCAGCGGGTAGGCCAGGTCTTCTGCTCCATGTGGATTGCCTCCGGGGCTGGGGATCAAACTTACATGGAAGTGGATGTGGCCAACTTTTGCTGTGCTGTGCTCCAACACGTTGCACCACCAGAGAGGGCCCTGTGACTGCTCTTTGCTATGATATAATCATATGTAATGGTTTAAATTATAGTGGTTAATAATGATTGAATTTTTAACACTGACACATTCTTAGGATTTTTTTTTTGACAAATACATGACTTGATTACAGAGTGACCACAGTTTGTCAATGAGAAAACTACAAAAATACTTTGTTTACATACATTTCTTTTCCAGAAAAAAGTACATGATTTGGAAATACAACTGACTGTCATTGGAACAAGTGAACAACATTATTCAAAACAGGTTAAAGAGCTGAAAACTGAACTTGAAAATGAGAAGTATGTATATTTTTCTATAAATAACTTACATATTCAGGTCCTAATCTTTCTGGTAGTTAAAGATAAATAAGTAAATTATATTTAATGTTTATTTGAGTGGGCTTAAAATTGTAGTTTCTTTCTAGTTAAGAATAACTTACCAATTCTATTGCTTAGGGAAGTACATATCATTGACATCAAAATTATATCACAAAGTTGATATACTTTTAATGTCTACTTTAGAAAATCATTGTAGATCAGAAGATCTATTCTTAGATTAGTTTCTAATAAATAATCATTTATAGTTTGAACTAGTTATCTTGATTCTTTTGCTAACTTATATTATTGTTTTAAATTGAGGAAATATCTTAATTCAAATTCATTCCTTGTGTTGTCTAATAACATTTAATTAAATGATTCACTTAATAAGTTTACTTTCGAAAGTAGGAGGAAATACTTACTTTAATAGAATTTAATTACTTGTAGAGTAAAACTGATGAAAACATTTTACTATATGTAATACTGTGTTATTACTCAGAGTACTCAAATAGCCAATCTAGTGGTGTGCATTATCGTTTTTCCCTGTTGGCTGCTGTTCTCCACTCTAGATAAAAATAAGAAATAATCAGCTTAATGAGCATCTTGTCTCTTTACTCCTTTGAATTTTCAGTGTAAGAAGGAGAGAATAGTACTCCTGAAATAATATCATAAAGCCATATATTGCACTTCTTCATTTGAAAGTGATCCTGGTTGCAACCAATAACATCAGATGGAGTGGAAATTGCCCCATATCCCTCTGGATTCTTCTTGCTGGGAAATAATCAAATATTAGACAAACTGATGAGAAAAAAGTAATAAAAGTTCTAATAATAACACTTATGCCTCGTGTATTCATGGGGTGAACCCAACATGAATTAGTAACTCACCCAAATGACTTTAACTCAATCTTAAGTAGTTTAAGACTGGGGAGTTTGGCAGGGTGGGTAAGGGAGAGAGGGAATGTTAGTTAAGACATTCACTGGGGAAAATTATAACAAATAAAAAGTTTGCAGAAAAGACATAGGGAGATTAGGACTTCTTGGGAGAGGGCCTTACAGAGACACTTACATATAAATATCCAAAGCAGCTTTCATCCAACTTCAGAGTTCTTCCCATGAAACAAACCTCTTGTCAAGAAGACATATTTTGGGGCAGCAGATTTTTCTCTCCTACATATAACAGTAATTGCTCTTCCTTTGTGGAACTTTTGAGACCTTGTAAAAGCAATTTAAGTGTTGCACACAAGTTCAAATCTAGTTCTGTTATATTCATGACTCATGAACTACTTTAATCAGATACGTTTGAGAGCTTCTAAGATATAGTCTAGTAAAGGGGAAAATTATATGATGTATAGCTTCAAAATTTGTGATAAAATGAGGGGTGGAGGTGTGAGACTATGCAAGGAAATATATAAGGCATCTTGAAAAACTTACATAAAAAGTTCAAATATGTACAAAATAGTGGAAGTAATGAATGACTTTGTACCTGTCACCTAGCTTCAGAAATTATTAACTAATGGCCAATCTTACTTCTTTTACAATCCTAGTCCTTTCCTATAAGGTTATTTTAAATTCATATAATTTCATATGTAAATATTTTGGCATGATGTTTTTTAAAAAATAGGCTTAAGAATACAGAAGTAACTGCAAGTTGTGACAAACTTTCATTGGAGAACAAAGAACTAGCACAAGAAACAAATGATATGGCCCTAGAACTCCAGAAACTGCAAGAACATATTCATGTGAGTTGAAAAATGAAAATATCAGTGACTTCCATTTCTTTCCTGCCTAGGAGTATGAATGACTCAGTAGAAAAAAAATGCTCAAATTTAAATAGTATGTCATGTATTGTCTTGGGACAGTGTTAGCACAGTTCAGAGATATTTATGTCTTGGGGGAAGGAAGAGTTTTAGAGGGAATATAACATTGGTTTCAGCCTTAAAACATGAATTATATGTTCAGTGATAAGAGTGAGTAAACATGTATTCCTTGAAGCTACAATATTAATAAAGACTATAAAAGTCTTAAAATATCACTAAGGAAATAGCAAGTGAGACTTGCTTTGTTAGCAGGTATATAGAGCTTTTCAGGGAATAATTAAAGTAAGACTGGAAAGGCAGTATGAACTTATGCTATAGCATACTCTCTTGGTTTATATATAACAGTTAATTTTATGCTTCAGAAGTAGCTGTTTATTTTTTACAGGCCTTAAATAACAGTTTTGTTCTTGTTGAATCAAAATAATATAAACAACATTGGTTATTTCTTTAGAATAGCAAAAAGCAAGAAGAAAGAATGTTGAAACAAATAGAAAATCTGGAAGAAACAGAAACACAATTAAGGCAAGATTAATGAATTTTCAATTTTGGAGTGAACTGTGGAATTTTTCATGTTTGCTTGCTAGAATATCTTTTTGCAAAAATTGCTCATAACATATTGCCCATTAATATTTGAAATTTTTATTTTCTTACTGATTTATTTAAACATTAAAATTATTAATCTTTTATCTTATTTATAATACCTATTTACCCCAACTATGGTTTTTGTATCATTTTGGATAATTTTGGATAATAATAACATTTTAAAATTTTGTATTGAATCTGAATATATTTCATTCTATAATTTCCCCATTGCTTTACACTTATAATTTTTCTGCCTGAAATATTAATCTTTATTTTTAATATTAATAGTTATTATTTTCTATACTTGGAAAGTCATCTTTCATCCTACCTTTACTGATGTTTTTATTCTTTTTGATTAACTTACTTTCTTCAGAAGTAGCTGTTATTTTTAGTTGAGTCTTGGTGTTTAAGCTATGGTACACTTTGGGGGTAAAAAATAAAGGCATATTTTAGGGAAAATCTAGAGAATTCAAATTATGAGGATAATATCTTTTTGCAAAACTACCTATTGTTTTGACTTTTAAAGGACTCTTCATATAAATATATTTTGGAATATAAAGTGATAGCAATTTAAAGTTTATTTATATTTTTAAAAACATTATTTATTTGTAGAACTGGGTATAAACCAGAGGTACAGGGGATGAGAGGATTTACCAGAGACAGAGTGGGGAGCAGAACAGGCAGAATTGAAATACACTGATGAGGGGAACAGAGGGGAGACAGGAGAGGTTTGATGAGCCATGTAAGTTAATTCCCTGACTAGGTATTCAACTCAGGCCATAGCAGTGGTAGCATTAAGATTAACCTCTAGATCACCAGGGCAGTTGGTAAATTACGTGTTTAAAACTCAGTTAAAGACTAAATATTTTGGATTCAGTTTTCACAGGCTACTTATTCTAATTGATTGACTATTATTCCATACAGGTTATACCCAGCAGCAATATATTAGTGGTAACAAGGGAGACTACAGTTAGACATTGCTTTAATTATTCATCTGAGACAAAGCACCATTTTTTCCTATGTACAAAAGCACAGATTTTTAATTAAAAAGTCATACAATATATTCATATGGTACAAAATTCAAAGGGAACAAATGAGCATATGGGGAAAGAAATCTTTCTTGAATTTTATCTTCCTTCTGCCTTTTTTCTTCCTGTTAATTCATTATCCCACTATTTCTTTTGCAGTTTTCTAGATACACTTTTTGCACATGCAAGGATCTCTGTGTATGCAGATTATCTGTCATGAACTTCCATTAAGATAATTTGTATTTATGGTCCTAATTTGTGTAAAATTATGATGCCTTAAAGTGATGACTAATTAATGACTAAGAAAACAGTAAAGTAAGAAATAACTGTTGACTTAAATAAGAAATATTTGTTCTGTATAGAAGTTTTTAAATGAAAAAATGGCTGCAGGTATCCAGATAATCAATAAAAAAATCAATGTATACATTAAACATTGTAGAGGTGTATTTGTTGGCAATAATATATGAAAAATTACCAAATAAAATGAAAAATTAAATCAACAAAATAGTGGTGAACCATTTTAGAGATCCCAGAAAGAGACTAAAAAACATAAATTTTATCACAATGTTGCTTTTCTATTTTCCTTAAGGAATGAACTGGAATCTGTGAGAGAAGAACTGAAACAGAAAGGAGATGAAGTTAAATGTAAATTGGACAAGAGTGAAGAAAATGTATGTTATGTTTAATAAAAATTTATAGCATAAAATTTCAAAAACATAAAAGCAGCATTTATGTGTCTAAATTAATGAAATATACTAGTGTAAAAGTAAATAGAGGTGCTTTAGGGAGTGTAGGCTGTTGATTAAAAAATATAGTCAAAGTTCGGTTATTTTTGCTTATATGGCTTATATTTATAAAACTAGTGACAATTCTAAATCTTATTGATAAATGTTCACTGTTTAATATTGATTTACATTTTAAGTGAAATGAATTGCTTATGTTTTAGTAATACAAAAATATCTTGATAAGTTGATTAATAAGTTTGCTGTACTTTGGTAGGTGTGATTTTAACAAACTGAGATTGATTATTTTAGGAAATAATCTTATGAAAGTGGAGTAGTACAATATATGTGAAATGATATGGTATCTCTTATTTATATGGTGAGAGAAAGTTATACCATAATAGCAAGAACAAACTGGATTATGAAAGCCTTAGCTGTTTTTCATTCATTCAACATTCATTCTGTAAGCAAGAGTGTACTTACTCTACATTTTGTTCTGGGTGCTGAGTATGGAGTTCATTTATCTTGATGGAAAGCAGTGATCCAATTAAAGTTTTATAGTAGGGAATTCACATTTTTAAATTTTAAGATTGAAATGAGACTGGTAGAGGCATTGAAATCAGTTGGAAAGCTGTAGTATAGTCCTGAAAGTTCTAGAGGGGACTCTGACTAATGTTTTTCACTTATTCCTGAATCAAATTGTGGAGGGGGGGAGGTTATAGAGTAATCTGGTAATCTGGTCAGGCATGAGCTGCATGCCCATTCTTGGAGACAGACTATGACATGTGGAATTTAAGGTACTGGTGATAGTGGAGAGAGTAGGACAATTTGAGAGTGGGGAAAGATGAGCGAGATGAGGATGAGTTCAAGTTAAGGTGGAGACAGATGAGGCTGGGTCACTTATGGATTCATAAGCTATGCTTAAGATTTTGAAGTTTTTAAAGAGTTTTGAACTAAGGAATGTCATAGTTATATTTGAATTTAGAAGGTTGTAAGGTTGTTGGGGTTGTCTAATAATGAGATAAACTAGTATTTTTAAAGGCTGAAAATAGACCAGAAACAGGCCCTCCCTGGTGGCGCAGCGGGTTAAAGCACAGCACTGAGAAGCTAAAGCCACTTCAGCATGAGTTCGATTCCCGCCTGCCCCAGAGGTGACCACATGGCACAGCAGACCTCTCCTGACCCGCCCGCTGCTCCCCTCAGCAGTGTACTTCGTTGATCTGCCTGTTCTGTTCCCCACTCTGTCTCTGGTGAAGCCTCTCACCGCCCCTGAGCCTCTGGCCTGTATGAATAAATAAATAAATCTTTAAAAAAAAAATAGACCAGAAACATTCTAGGTTCTTTATATATGTTATTTTATTTAACTGGAAGTCATTTTTGTTCTCATTTTATAAATTAGGAAATTGGACCTGCAGAGTGTAAAAAATCTTTGAAAGGTTACATAATGGAAAGGTAGTAGGGCTGGCCTTCTTTTGACTATGCCACAATTTTTTCCCCTCAAAGTTATCTTTTGTTTCATTTTACTAGTTAAATTCAGCCAGGAAAAAATGAAGTTGATTTTGTAAAATTTTGGTAATTTTACTACATTAAAATTCATGTTAGATGCCACTTCAAAACATTAATCTTGTTTGTAATGAGAGAAACCAAAATTTAATGTAAAATCAAAATCCACCAGTAAGAATTTAAATGCATTTTAAATTTAATAGTGATAAAGAAAAACAAAATGCAAGGCAAGTTAACTTATTTAAGCTTTGCATGATTGGATTTTAACTTATCTATTGAAACTGTTTCCAGGCTGCAAGTATTTGTCAGATCCTTTTATTACTTTCCTTTTTTCCCAGTCTATGTTAGTTTAGATATGTGCTATTCCATACATAACTTTTCTGATGTTCAGATTCCTTCCTTCTAAAATGGAGATAATAATACCTATCAATTGCTTGTTACATGTTTCAAATTAATATTGTTTGTGTGAACATTATTTAAGAAATTATGAACATTATATACAAGGCAATAAAAAATTGAAGGTAAACTGGGAAAGCTGATAAAATAGAACAGAGTAAAACTAAGAATGATGAACATTAACATATAAACAGCAAACACAATTTTTTAAAAAGATTTATATATTTATGCATATAAGAACTGGGAAATAGGCCAGAGGTTCGGGGCAGGAGTGGGTGTGAGAGGAGTCACCAGAGACAGAGTTGGGAGCAGAAAACAGATGCTTTACTGAAATACACTGCTGAGGGGAGCAGCAGGTTAGTCAGGAGAGGTTTGCTGTGCTACATGGGTGGCTCTGGCCTGGAATGGAACTGTTGTTGCAGTGGCTGCTGATAGCTTCACAGTGCTGCAACTTAACCCCTTATACCAACTAGGGTGGCCCACAATTTGTTTTTTTTTAAAGGATATTGAAATAAACTGGGAGAACTAATAATGCTTCTTGTCAAAATATTAGACTCAACTTTATAATTCCATTTCTAAAAGATATAGAAGAAAATAGAAATTCTGTTACCATATTAAAATATATCAAATAATATTTTTTAGGCTCGAAACATTGAATGTCAAGTTTTAAAAAAGGATAAACAAATGAAGATACTAGAAAACAAGGTATTATCAAATGTTTGGGAATAGAAACTTAGTAACAATGTATGTGACTAGATACATTATCTTGTACAATGAAATCTGAATTCTCCTTTGAAGACTTTTGAGGAATAATGTAGGATTTTTACTACTGGTTTCTTTGAAGAAGCTCAGAGTTTTGCATGGTGCTTCAAAGAGCAGTTTTAGCTATGTCTTCTTCCCTTCCCAAAATTTCATACTGTCAGCATTTACATTTGTTGTGGTTATATTTAGAGGGAGGGTAAGAAGCCCTTAACAATTATTCTTATATCTCTCACATTTCTGTAACTAAGAAAGCTATAGGGAAATTTCTGCTTCTAATGTGAAGTGTTACTGCCTGACTGCCTATTCCAATTCACTTATCTCTCTTCTACATCTCATCACACACTTGTCCTAATACTTGACTTTCCTTTTGGAAAGTAGTTTATTATTGGGATTATAACCTCTAATAACATCATTTTCTTCTAACTATAATTATGATGAATAAAATTACCTATTTCTATGCATATGCATTATTTTTTTAAAAAATGAACTGTGTAAGTTAAAATCTTTTAAGAAATTTCTAGGCATCCACTAAATATCCAACCAAATTGAAATGAATATCATTAATTTCTCCCTCACTTTTACATAGCTTTTCTTACATAGTTTTTTGAAGTAAACCATTTGTAAGGGTAGAACACTGTTAAAATTTGGGTAAAATAAATAATTTATAGATAGTAATACCATATATTATTTAGCTTTACAATAGTAACTATGACTGTACATGAATGTTACAAGAAAAATAAGAGTCTTCTGTGCTATTCAGTGATATTACATTCTCCAAACCCCCCCCCCCCGTTCCTATTTTGGTGGAAATTAGAACAATATACATAATTATAATATTTAGTATCCTTTAGAAATTTGTGCTGCTTTTATAGTATACCAAACATTTCTTAGACTAATACCTCATAATTTAAGTTAGCATATTGTAGTCAGGTGAAATAGTGAGATAAGTAAAAAAGTGTTTTAACTAGTATTTTATGATCGAGATCAGAATGTAGTTAGGAGATAGGGTAATGTAATATTAATTTATTTTTCCCAGAGGAAAAGAGATCTCAGAAATAAGAAATGAGTAATGACTTTAGAAGGTATTCTTACCTTTGACTGCAATTGTAACTAAGAAAGCTATAGAGACATTTCTGCTCCTAATGTGAAGTGTTACTGCCTGACTGCCTGTTCCAATTCACTTCTCTTTTCTATACCTCATCACACACTTGTCCTAATACTTGACTAAAATGTATGTGTGTACATGTATATATGTATGTATTCAACTAATGTGTAATTCAGTTTGTTATATAGAGTTAACTCAAAAGACATGTTTTCTTTAGAGTAGTTGAATTCATATGTTCTATAAGTAGACTAAAAAATCTTTAGAAATTAACATTTGTATTGAGGTAATCTTTATTAAATTTGTATTTGCTCATATAAGGTTTGACATTAGTGGAATTATTTAACAGCATAATGGAAAACAATTCAACATAATCTATGTTACTTTGTGATATTTTTGTTAGTATGAAATTGCTTATTTCAACTAGAATATTTAATACAATAATTGTTATTTCTCATAAATTTTTAGTGTAACAATTTAAGGAAGCAAGTTGAAAATAAAAGCAAACACATTGAAGAACTTCAACAGGAGGTATGTAGTGATTTTCAAAACAAAACTACCTTAAAAGAAATATTAATTACATTTTTAGAGGATAATACTTTTTTTTAGTAGTTCAATCCAAGTCTGTGACAGTGTAGGCTTGAACTGCCTTAGTACTAAATATAATTATTTTTAACTTTCAACAGAATAAGGCTTTGAAAAAAAAGGGTACAGCAGAAAGCAAGCAACTGAATGTTTATGAGATAAAGGTATTTGTGATATTTATTTTTATTTTTGAAATACTAATAAGCAATTTTATACCCTTATATAATAGGAGTTATTTTTAAGCATTAACTTGACATTCGGAGAATCATTTCTCTTAGTTGCAATAAAGTTATTTAACTGTGTTAAAAATCACTGAGCACTTCTAAAATATATGTCTGCATGTGTATATATGTATGTATTCAGATTCTTTACCTATACTATACATTGAAAATTGAGATTGAGTAGGTTTTGGGTGGCACCTTGAAATAATGTACATTTTAAAAAAGCACATATACAATTATTGTAGTTATTTTATAGTAGCATAAAATCTTTGAGAGCTATTGACTGTAAAATAAAATTAAAATCCTGTAGTGTAAGCTTATGATGTCAGGGTCATGTTTTGTTTTATTTCATTCCAGCCTTATTCCCAGTTCCTTCAACAGTGACTGGCACTTGTAAAATACTCAATAAATAGTCTTTGAATTGTGAATGGAAAGCACTGGTTCTCAGTATATTAAATAGCTACTCTTTGGGGGGAAGCAAAAATATCACATTTTTCTATCATAATATTTAAAACTAAAATATGTAAATATCATAATTGAAATGAAAGCAAATAAAAATTCTCAGAATGTACTGGAATTACTTGAGAAAGTATATAATTCAGTCCTATCATGCTTACATAGAATCAGGATAAATGTATAAAAATAATCATAGTAGCATAGCTTGTAGTAGCCCTAAACTGAATACAACAAAGATATTTACAGAATATTATAAAAATAAGTCAATAGAAGATGAACTTAATATGAATTAGGTGTTGAAATCTGCTGATAAGATCTTTTATGTGCCCATTAAAACTTGGTTTAGAGACCGGAAAAATGCATGGTTTCAATAAAATGGGGAATTTTGGTGAAGAAAGGAAAACATTACAAATGAATCATACAGAGGACCTTCCCTGGTGGCGCAGTGGGTAAAAGCACTGCACTAAGAAGCTTAAGCTATGTCTGCATGAGTTTGATCACCGCCTGCCCGAGGAGATCCACATAGCATGGCAGACCTCTTCTGACCCGCCCGCTGCTCCCCTCAGTAGTGTACTTCGTTGCTCTGCCTGTTCTGCTCCCCACTCTGTCCCTAGTGAATCCTCTCACCCTCCGCATCTCTGGCCTGTACCCCAGTTCTGTATGAATAAATTAAAAAAAATTTAAAATAGAAAAAAAAATGAATCATACAGAAATTTTAGAACTGAGAAGTAAGACATCTTAAAAAAAGTGTTAGTGATCTTAAAAGATTGAATACAATAAAATATCAGTGAATTTGAAACTGGATAGAGGGAAATTATCTGTTCAGAGAAACAGAAAAAGATTTCTTTGCAAAGAAATGGTTCTTTAGTGACCTTTGAAACAGTATCAAGTACTAAATGTGAAATTGGAATCCTTGAAAAGAGATTTAGGAGTGTAGGGCAATAAAAGTAAACTATGCTTTCTCAGTTTTTCACATTGAATAAGCGTAAATGTGTAGATAAATGCTTTCAGCAAATCCACAGTAAGATTAACACAGAAAGAAAAGATTTGTTTTCTTTTGGTTTTGTCTGTTTCTTTGCTTTTCTTAATATTCCACATTTCAGTGAAATCAACTGGTATTGTGTTTCCCCTTCTGACTTACTTTCCTTAACATGATAGTCTTAAGGCCTAACTTTGTCGTAGTAAATAGCTTTCATATTTTCTGTTCATTATTTTACTTCTCAGGTACTTTATTTTTCTAAATTTATCTCTTTCTGATTAGCCTTTCTGAATTCTCTTTTATCTATTTGAGTTGATTTTCTGTGTTTCCTTCTACCTTTTTTTCCTTTTCTCATAGGAATTATGAACTCATTGATAGGGAGATAAACTCTTACATGTGTTTATGGTTGGGTTCTGGAGAGTTGTTCTCTCCAGTGATGCCATGTACCCTTTAGGTCTCAAGGAGCCATGTGTTGTGTTTTTTGGCCTGCCTATTCTTTGCTCTAGATTTCTGTTTTTTTTTTTTTTTAAAGTATATATAGAATTAACTTACAGTGTTGAACTAACTTTAATTTTCCAGTGGGTGGTGCTTTGGTTTTATTTGATCTTAGTTTTTTAGTCTTTGCTGGCTCCTGTAGGTTTTAAATCTGATCTTGCAGTTGCTGAGTTGGAAGGTTGGGGGGAAGGGCCTTAAGGGATCCAGCCTCTGGTGGGAATATATTGGGGGTAGGACTGGCTTGGGTTTGTGATACCACCAATAATACTCCTCTGTGGGGCTCCAGATCTGACACAGCCTGTGATTGTCAGTGCTTCGTAGGGCCAGCACCAGTTCCACAGGGTAGGTACGAAAGAGTATAATTCAATGTACCTTTTGTTGTTTTTACTGGTGATCTGGTCTCTATGGAGCATCCCAATCACTGTACATTGTTTTTCTTCAGTCAAGGGTGTGTGACTCCACACTGTTTAGCTCTCCCTTCTTCAGGGCTTCTGGAATGTTCTCTGTGTGTATCCCATTGTCCTGAACCACAGCCTCCAGATACTTCTTTCCACCCATCTCTTGTTAAGTGAAGAATGGAAAACAAATTCATTATGTGCTGATCTCTGAAACTCTAAGTGTGTTGCAATTTTTCCCCAAGTCACAGCACTCTTTTTGGCTAACCATTGGGCAATCCTCTAAGCTGTGAAGCTAAGAACTGCCTTTATCAACATTGGGTCCATCCATTTTTACTGTTATTTTTGTCACCTTTGAATGAATTTATTTTTCTAAGGATTTTGTGGTGTTTAGCAAGATGAAAATAATAAATTGGGGGGAAGAAATAATTTTGATAATATTTAGAACTGATGGTTATATGAATTCACAGTTATAAGAAGGATAACAATTAAATTAACAGGAACAGAAACAAATTAACATGTAGACATGTGTATGTATAATGAAATAGGATATGGACATTCAGAAGTCTTAAAGGTAACTAGAAAATTGAAATTTACTAATGATGAGAAATTTGCCATGAATATCTCATCAACAACAATGTAAGTCAGAAAACAGGAAAGAGTCTCAAGTAAAGCAAAAATAGCTATCAACCTTGCATTATGTCCACAATATACTTCTCTTTTGAGAATGTTGGTGAAATAATGACACTTATAGATGAAAAAGTGAGGAAAACATTTTTGAAGAACAGTAGGATGTAAAAAATAATAATATATAGAAACACAATATTCAGTAGTTGTTTAAAAAAATCCCAATATGTTTTTCCCTCAGAACACAGGAGTTTTCTGTCCAAATTAACCAGTTATTTATTGCAGTAAATATATTGAACTGAGACAAGACAATGTAAAAATTGTTGGGAAATTCATTAAAAGTAAAAATATGGTTGCTTTTAAAATATTACTTGTTGGGCTCTCCCTGGTGGTGCAACAGGTTAAAACACCGCATTATGAAGCTCTCGAAAGCCACTGCAGCATGAGTTTGATCCCCCTGCCAGGGAACTGACCCACATGGCGTGGCAGATCTCTCCTGACCCACCTGCTGCTCCCATCAGCAGTGTATTTCAGTACATCTGCAGGGTCTGCTCCCCACTCTGTCTCTGATGAATCTTCTCACCCACCACACCTCTGGCTTGTACCCCAGTTCTGTAAGCATAAATAACTCTTCAAAAAATATTACTTGTTAAGACTAAATGCATATTTTAGGGAAAAAGACAAGAAATTATGAAAAATTAAGCATATCTCAACATACGAAAAATGTAAGAAAAAATGATCCAACCATAATCACCATGAATAAGTATACTTTGAGATTTATAAAGCTACAAAATGAGTACAGAATGTTTTCAAGTAATTTGCAGTCTTTACTAAGGTTTATGTTATTTTCTTTACTTTCAAGGTCAGTAAATTAGAGTTAGATCTAGAAAGTGCCAAACAAAAATTTAAAGAAATGACTGTCAGCTATCAAAAAGAAATTGAGGAGAAGAAGATATTAGAAGAGAATCTTTTGGGAGAGGTATGATCAACTATGTTTGAGAATTCATTATACTAACTGAAACACTATTAGTAATTTAAGAGAAATGTAGTAGTAATCCTTAGTTTTAAAATTGATAAAAATTTAAATTTATTTTAGGGCTCTCTATAGATATATATAGCAGTTAAAATATCATTAATTTGAGATAGAGTACTGAGCAGTAAGTAAATATTTTAAATGATTAAATGGCTGTTACAGTATTATTCTATTGCTTAATTTCATAGAACACCCCAAAAATCAATCAAAACAGTGATACTTTTTCTAGTTGGATTACCTAATTTCCTGGTGTTGGTTTCTGCATTTTATATAAATAGAACATATGGTGTTTAAATTTAAGTAATCTTTTGTGCATTAATTTTAGGAAATATTTTATTTGATAGGTTGAAAAGGCAAAAGTAATAGCTGAAGAAGCAGTAAAATTACAAAAAGAAATTGATATGCGATGTCAGCATAAAATAGCTGAAATGGTAGCACTTATGGAAAAACATAAGGTAATCACTTTTTTTGTGAATGAAAATGATTACTTGGAATCATATTTATATATAAAAATATTGAAATAAAGATAGTATTCTGATTTGTCAGAGACAGCTGTCTATGTACCAGTGACTAACTGTAGCAGGAATACCTTTGGTATCTTATTTGTATACGTTTGATTCATAATTGCACAATGTTGAGCTTGAGTGCTACTTGGATGTATCTTGCCAATATTTTTATCCTTTCCATGTGTCTAGGTTAAACACATTTTTATTAATGTAATAGGTGAAAGCCTTATGTTTCTTGTGTTTGTCAGGGATACTGTTTTTATATTTCTTGAAAAAATTGTTCTCTTGTGGGGTAAACTTACTCCCTTCATGATTTGGAAAGGAGATAGGACATATCTACCTATTCATGTTTAAACTTTGTTGCTGGTATATAACATCATTATGGCACAAACAATGAGGATTAAAAACTATTTAAGTAATATTATGAACTTGTGGATTTAATCATATTTGGTATATGTCTATCCAGTATAATTTTTAGCTTTGTTAATACTCAAATTGTCTTATCTTGGCCAGTGGAAGCCTCTTCAAACTGGCCAGTAAATTCCTCTGACTTGACCTTATGTCTGATAGCTTTCTGTTAAGATTAAATGTCCAAGATTCATCTTATATTTCCTTTGCTAGATCTGATACCAGCCTCTTTTCTAAGAGGCTGAGATCTTTTGATCCAATTTTTGAAAAAAAAAAAATTAAATTCAGTGCTTCCAATTAAAAATAATTATTCATTCTCTTGTGTTAGATTATTTTCAGGACTGTCATCTATGCTTCATTGTTTATATTAGTTGAATAAAAACTGGAATTGAAAAGTTTCAGAATATATTCAAAATATATACCTGAATTCTTAAATATTTTCTATAAATACTAAGTGCTTAAGAAGATCAGTCTTATTAAAACTTAATCCACTTGCATTCTATTGTATCTAAAATATTTTGCTCTTTTAATATAGCACCAATATGACAAAATCGTTGAGGAGCGAGACTCAGAATTAGGACTTTATAAGAGCAAAGAACAAGAACATGCATCAGTGAAAGCATCTTTGGTGAGATCCAGAATAAATAGCAGTAAAAGCCAATTTTCATATCAGCACGGCTTGTGGGAAGGAATAATATAAAATAAAATAATATCTTTTCATCTGTAGAATCAGAGAATCTTAGATCAGAATAGGATCTTACAAAGTGTCACCATTTTTTGAAATAGTGATATCAGCTCTTTATCTCAAATAAAAAGTTAAAAACGCTTTTACAAATAAGTTTGAACTCTCAGATTGGGAGAGCAGGGGTTGAATAGATTGGATAGGATGAGGAGAAATACACATAATATTAAATTTTTATTTAGTGCAAACTATACAAAAACTTGTTTGAATGAAATCCTTAGTTATGTTCAACTAGCAATCTTCTTATCAGAGGACTTTTAAAATATATTTTATACTTGAATTTTTTCTCTATAAAGCAAATTTATTTGAAACAAAGCAAATTTATTTGAAACACTAGTTTGATTTTTATTGTCTTGAGAAGTATTTGGTTCACTTATGTACTTCATGTTTCATTTTCTTTAGGAAACTGAACTATCTAATCTCAAAAGTGAACTTTCATCTATGAAGAAACAACTTGAAATAGAAAGAGAAGAAAAAGTAGGTTTTGTGAAGTTATAGATAATGTAATCATAAAATTTAAGTGCAAGCTTAAATTTTCACATGTTGTATTACAAAATAATGTGATAATTTGTGTAGCTAAGGGTTTAGAATATGGCTTTCCCCATTTAACTTGTTTTTTTTTTTCCCCTGAAGTATTTACCATACCCCCCTAATGAAAATATTAAACACACATAAATATAAGTGCTCTTTTTAAAGGTAGAAATACTTTCAGGTACACTTAAGTATTTGAGAAATATCTCATGTATTAAAAAATGCTTATATATTTTGATGGGAGTTTAGGTTCTTAGTTATGTTTTAGAATAAGCATAATGCCTTATATTTGTATAGTACTTTGCAATTTACAAACTGAATTAACTCACAATTTAAAATGTGATAAATACTACCTTTTCCCCTTTATGTATGATAAGTACTGAATTGAGTATCCTACTCTTAATTTAATCCTCATAACAGTGTTATAAACAATTCTAGTTACTATGCTCATTTTTATAAGGTTAGGTTATTTATTTAAGCTCATATAATAAAAAAGTAGAATGTTTTAGAATGCAAATCTAGGTCTATTTTGCATGACTCCAAATCCTGTTCTCATAATTGCTGCAACAGCCTAGGTAATGTGCCCTTTCAATTTCAAGTCTCTCTGTATTTGTTTACTTTATTTCTTGCATTTAATTCCTTTCATTTTTTTGCCACCTAAAGCAAATTTCACACATCTTTTGTATTACATAAATATTACCATAGCATGTTTTTGTTTCTATTGAAGTAGTTATGTCACTACTGTGTTCCCATTACATTTCTGCCTCTTGAAGGATTAGGATTATATCTTATTTTCTTTATTAAACAGAGTGCTTTGAATTTTAAAAAATTTTACATAATTTATAAATATTTGTATATATTTTACATTATAGTTATATATATTGTACAATGAACTATGATGCTTTCTCCTCTCATGTGTAGTCCCCATAAAATTCCCACCACCAGTTCACCTGTGCACCATTGCCATAGTCCCTTATGCTCTTCCCTCCCTTGTTTTGGTCCTTCTTCCTCCCCTTCCCCTGTAGAATGTCTCTAATTTATAGTTGCCTGTTAATTTTTTTAAAATTTATTTTTATTACTTCCCCCTGATCCCTTATTTTGTTCCCCTATATTCCTCCTATAAGTGAAACCATCCAATATTTTTCTTTTTCCTTCTTAGTTAATTCACTGATCATAATCTCTTCTAGCTTCATTCATGTTGCCGTGAATGGCATGAGTTTATCATTTTTGATAGCTGACTAGTATTCCATGGTGTATGTATACTACATCTTGATCCAATCATAAATTTTTGAGTATTTGGGTCATTTTCATATCTTTCCTATTGTAAATAGTCTACAATAAACATAGGGGTACAGGTATCCTTTTGAATTAATGTTTTTTGTGTCCTTTGGGTAGATTCCTAGGAGTGAAAATGCTGGATCATATGGTAACTTTGTTTCAGTAGTGAGGAAGCTCCACACAACTTTCCATAGTTTGTATTCCCACCAGCAGCTTAGGAGAGTTCCTTTTTCTCTCATCCTTGCCAACATTTGTTGCTGCTAATTTTTTTTTATTAAAAAGTTTATTTTTACATCATTTTGCACATTTTTTTTTCATCTCAATTGTAATCCCCACGGGTTTCCCATCACCAAATCACCCCTGTGCCACCACCATAGTCCCGTGCATTTCCCTCCCTCCCCCCCCCTTTTTGGTCCCATTCCCCACTCCACCCCCACAGAATGTCTCTGGTCTATGGTTGTTCATTATTTTTGTTATTTTCTCGCCTGGTCCGTTATACTCCTGCTATGAGTGAAACCATCCGGTATTTGTTGCTGCTAATTTTTTAAAATATGTGCCATGCTTTGAAATTTTTGTTACCAGTATTGACCCCATTAAATGTAGTTGATATTCTTTTTTTAATAGGAGAAAATCAAAACAGAGGCCAACAAAAATAAGGTTACTCTCAAAGAAAAAAAAGACAAGGTAAGAGTTTTATATAATTCTCATAGTTTTTGTATGGCACCAATTCATCTTCTAATATTTAGAGTATTTGCTCATACTTAGGAAAAGAACATTTAAAAGGCATAGCACAATTTTATTTCCTTAATTGCTTTTTGCTATTTATTATTTAAAAAATATTAGCTAACCTTTTCAAAGCATTTCTCCTTTGGAGGTTTAGAAAAAATTTTAATCTTTATTTCTACTATAGTATTACCTTAAAATAGTTTCTTCTCTCAAAATTTCCAGGTTAGAAAAAATATTTTCAGCAAAAATTTTAAAGTTTATATCTAGATTGTTTAGATTTGGACTTGGGAAACCTGAAATTGGTTATTGGAAATTTGATACTAAAGAGCTTCCTTCATAAAATATGATTCAAAATTCCCACATCAGTTGATCCAGGCAAATACAAAGATAAAAAAGCCTCTGCAAATTTTGGGTTTTGAGAGGGCCAAATAAATGGCACACTGCTTTCCTTAATTTGGTCTAAACCAATTGAGAAAGAGCAGAACCAAAGTAATCTTTATTATTGATAACAACTGTTGGCTTATAATTGAAGGTAAAAGGATTTCTTAATCCTGAAATCCTCTAGTAAACATACTTACCTCATCTGTAAAGGGATAATAGAGATCCTTTCCTCCGTATTTGTAAAGTATTTAAAATAGGACTTGGCACATAGGAAACACCACTGTTTTTAAAATACACTGGGGAAATTATGAATATTCTGTGTATATGAATCACTTGAAATGTATCATTCAGAAAAATGTACCTTGTAAGAAAATACATAATTATCCAAGTGTATTATTTTCAGTGTTGTTGAATGGGGATAACTTGTATAGACTATTGGGCTACCAAGGAAATGTTAACTTTCAGACACGGCCACAAGGTGGTGCAGTTGCCATTCATGGTTTTTTGAGAAGCAAAATTTGTCCAAGAAAGCAGTTACATTTTGAAGGATCTGAGGATGATTCATGATGACGCTAAAGAAAAGAGAAGAAAAATTGATTTTATCAAATTTGATTTCATTTAAACTGTGATATAGAAATATGTAGGGAAAAGGATACAGCTCTCTCAAAAAAGAAATGTAGCTCTGAAAAAATTACTACTAAAATTCATTACGGTTGGGGAAGAGATTATAAAGTGAAATCAGTAGAACTTGGCAAAAAATATTAATACCCAATTTTAGTTCCTTGATTATACATGTGGATAAATTAAAGTCTGGAGGTAATTGGAGATTTACTTTAAATCACTCAGGAAGTTAGTTAATAGCTCTTTTAGTAGAAAAGGCCATATTATTTAACCTTGTCCAGTGTTTTTGTAGCACAGGTTGTTAATTTGTAATCCTGCATACTGTATGCTCTTGATTGAAACTCATTGCAGATTCAGCCCCCAACTTTTAGAGTAACCCTGTGTGTGTGTATGCCCCATTCTTTCTTGTGAGTAATTGCTCTAGTTGAATTCATGGAGTTAGGGGTTACTTACAGAAGTGGTAAAGTACAGAGTGATAAGCATGGGTTTCAGTTTATTTTCTGAATTAACAATTAGCCATTTTTTCATTTTTCCTTGAATATTCCTCTATTTCTTTCATATCCCTTCTCTGTTTTTGGAGGACAGTGAAGCTGTTGGAGAGGAAAAAGATTGATATTTTTGTAAGTGAGAAATAGAAAATATGAGTACATAAAAGAAAATGATTAAAAGTGAAAATAAGTTGCCCTTTGAAATTTGGTCTAGTGGGATGAAACACAGATTCTGTTTTTTTTTTTTTTTTTGTCACCAGAAATAGAGATTTTTCTTTAGAGAATTCTCAACTTTTGGTCAGATAGAAAGTTGAGATATTTTGTGTTCACAGAAGCTCTGTAAAGACAAAGGGCTATATACCAGTCTCATTATTTTAAATGGGAAAGAAAGTGTAATTAATTCAAAGTTATATAATCAATAATACATTTTGGGATATTCTAGTTTATTCTAGTGTTATTTCTACTAGTTGCTTCACTATAAAATAAACTTTTATGATGATTTTACTAACTTTTGTTGTTCAACACAGAAAATACAGACGTTATTATTGGAAACACCTGAAACTGGTTACTGGAAATTTGATTCTAAAGCTGCTCCTTCACAAAATATATATCAAAATTTTACCTCAGCTGATCATGGCAAAAATAAAGACAAAAGAGACTGTCAGTGGACATCTGCCAAAAGTACTTTATCAGCACCATTACCAAAGGTTGGTCACTGAAATTGTGCCGCTCTTTCTCCCTATAGGATTTTTAAAAAATATTTATTTTACTTATTTATGCATACAAGAGCTGGGGTGTAGGCCAGAGGTGTGGAGTAGTGAGAGGATTCATTAGACATAGAGTGGGAAGCAGAACAGGCATATTGACTGAAATGCACTGCTAAGGGGAACAGGAGTGAGATAGGAGAGGTCTGCTGTACTCTGTGGATCAGTTCCCTGGCTGGGGAGTGAACTTTTGCTGCAGTGGCTCTGGATAGCTTCATAATGCTGAGACTTGACCCTTTGTGCCATCAGGGAGGCGCCTCCCTATCAGATTTTTTTAAAAAAAGATTTAGTTAATGTATGCATACACAACTGGGTACAACCCAGAGGTGCAGGCAGTGAGAGGATTCACCAGAGACAGAGTGGGGAGCAGAACAGGCAGATCAAAAAAGTACACTGCTGAGGGGAGCAGCGGGGAGACAGGAGGGGTCTGCTGTGCCACATGGATCACCTCTGGGGCGGGGATTGAACTCACACTGAAGTGACCATGGCTTTGCTTAGCTTCCCAGTGCAGTGCTCCAACTCTCTGTGCCACCAGGAGCGTCCCCTATCAGATGTTTTTATGGGAGAATTTGATCCCAGCATCCCTTCCCTGCCATGTTGATGATGTCACTCCTACTTATTGTATTAATAATGAATTTTTGGAAGTTCCCAGAGTGGACTTATATAAGTAGTGTTCCTATAGAAATTCTAGTATTTGGTATGTATGCATTTGGTTAGCTATTTCTTAGGAATGGAATTGCTGAGTTATAGCATTTTGCATAGTATGTTTCATCTTAATAGGTACTGCTTGAGCTGTTTTTACATAGAATACTTTGTAAAAATGCCTCTATATAAATCATTTCTCCAGTTCTCTAGACACCATTTTCACTGTGTCAGTGAACTTTTAAAAGATATTTTTTAAAAATTCTAAAAATAGCAGGGTAATGTGGAATACTAAACACTGTATAATGTGAAATACTTTTCCAACAAAAATAAGCAAAAATATGATTTCTCAGGAATCATTAAGGGTTTTTGTAGAGAGAGCAAAATTCACTCAGTTCTTTGTTTCAGTTATGGTTAGGAAAAAATCTTAAGATTGTTGACTGCAGAGCTGTGGACTCTCTCCCTACCCTCTCCTCACTATCTATTTTCCAGTAGATTGAAGGGGAGGAAGACTGACAGCTACTATAGGTTTTTTCAGAAAGTTATGAAATTTTTGGTACTAAAAATATCTGAATTAAAAATTTATCTCATATACATACCAATATAATACATACCAATAATATACATACATACATATATACATACATACCAATAATAATGGATAATTATTGATTGCTAAAGGTTACTTGCCTTTTAATATCATATGCTTGATTTGGTGGGATATTGTGTTGGTTTTCTTTTTTGAATAGGCATTTACTGTGAAGACACCAACAAAACTAAAAATTCAGCAAAGAGAAGACAAAAATGTGCCTGCTGAAGAAAATAATAAAAAGAGAAAGATGGTTTTTGAATTTGACCTTAATTCGGATAGTTCAGAAACAACCGATCTTCTGGTAAAAATATTGCAAATAATTAGCATTTATTATTAGTTTACATTACAATTTAACTATATTATTTCTTGGTATATATGTGTATGTACATAGTGCCTATCATTGTGATGGTGAAATAAAGTAGAATGCTACCACAAAACAGAACCCAATGCTTTGGCAGCATTTTAGAGAAATTAAGGTTCAAGTAATCTCTAGACTTTAGAAAGTCTAGAAATTTTGAAATTCTTGATGTTGCATAGTTGCCATATGAGATGATTAGACATACTGTTTTCCAGTGGGGTATTATAAAGTAGTTTTTAACATGTTTTTTAAAAAGAAAGTTTAGTTGAAAATACTATTATTGCTATAATCAAGTTTTATATTCAGGACCTCTCTCAAATTTGCATGTTATATGCATTATAAAAATTTTTATACTTGTTGAAATTTTTATACTTGTTTTATTAGTTGTTGAAATCTATATCAAGGTATTGGTTGAAAAATATAAGATTTCTATCATTTTTAATGAGTTAATGTATTAAAGATTCATGTTTAAGGACACTCTTTTCCCTGGCAGTTATTATCACTAATTATTCCCTCTTATGATTGTATTTATACATGCCAGTATTTTTTAAAGTGTGTGTATGATCTATATCAATTTGTTTACTGTGTAGTAAACAAAGTAATTGTGCTGTGTAAAATCAGTAATCATATACTGGTAATTAAGAATAATTAAACTTAGATGCACTTAACTTGAAAACAGGTAAGTCTCATCACACTAAATGGAGCAATATGCCAAGGATTCTGATTAAAAATTATATTTAATTTGTTTTATTATTTCCACTAATATCTGTAAGATTCTACAAGCTTTTCAATCTCCTATTTTCACTTTTCCTGAAATAGGGAATAGTTAAGCTCCTAAAGACTATATTATATTTAATTTATATAATTGTACTTTAGTAATTTTCATAGGTAACTAATGGGTGATTAACATTTTAACATTAAAATCATGAACCCAATATTGTAAAGACTTCATGTAGATTACTTCAATTAACTTCTTGCATCAATCTTACTCTGTAGAAGTTTAGACACTGCTATTTTCATTTTACAGATTAATAGATGGAGTTATACAGTACCCTGACCAAAATCATATAACTAGTAAGGCATGAGGCCAAAATTTGAATACAGATTGTCTGGTACTGTAGCCTGCACATCTTTGATGATAATCACAGCCAGTTCAAACTGAAATCTGTATATATAAAAACGTAATGAATTAGTAGAAAGAGCCTGAGCTTGGAGTTAGACACCCTAGGGTTGCAATCCCTTCTTTTCTAGCAGTATGAATGTAGGACAGTTTCTTAGCTGATCTGATTCAGAGTGACTCATGATTTCATTTCACTTTTAAAAGGCGCCTCATAACTTTACAACACAATAAGCAGATTGATATAGAGTTGTACACAATTGTTAAAATTAATCTACAAATATACTTCACAGTTGGTTTTACTGGTTATAATTATTCCTTGAAATTATTTTTGTAACTTTCTTAGCTGTTGTATTTAAATTTTGGTGAACATTCAAATTATGACAAGAAATAGGTTTTAAGAATGGATTATCTGTAATTACCATAGAGAAGATTGGTAAACTTTGCACTAAGCATGGTAACAAACACATATTACCCAGCCTATGGTCCTGTGGCAAGCAACTGTGCCCACATTTCTGTGTGTCCTACGAGCACTCCAATTAACAAGAAGGACCTTGTCCTCAAAATATCAAAATTTATTGTGCAGATTGCTGCTTAAAGGTATGCATAAACTGGCAGCCAGTGTTTCAACCATCTCCAGCTGAAGAATCTTCAAAGGATTTAAACCAGTTGCACCTGTTTTCTTCTTTTCTCTTTTCCATGTTTGGCAAGCCAGAAATTTAAGGACTAGGACTTTCAAAAACAGGCACCACATACATGGAGAATTTTGAAAAGTATCACATATATACTGGAAAAGACATAGACTCAGAAAAATAGCCTGAGAAGATAATCATATTTTCTCTTAAAGCTGATTGCTGGCACAGAGACATTTTTGAAAGTTAGACAAAAGCAAAACAAAGTTAAATGAATAAATACAAGAAACTGGGGAAAGAGTAGTTCTTATTTGCAGACTTAACAGATTATAAGATTAAAGAATCTACATTTCAACAAAAAAATTATAAGGGACACAAAGAAAAGTATGGCTTTTGCAAAATCAATGGAAGATGTCCCTGAAAGAGTGCAGATGTTGGGCTTGCTAGACAAAGATCTTAAAGATGCTGAAAGAGCTAAAGGGAGACATGAATAAAAGTAGACAAAGTAGGAATACAATGGGAACAATGGATATAGAGATTGTAAAATGAACCAAGAAGAAATCCTGCAGTTGAAAATAAGTAAACTGAAGTGAAAAGACACTAAAGGGTTAATAACCAGGCTTAAGTAAGCAGAAGAAATAGTGAACTTGAAGATAGGACAATTGAAATTATTGAATATGTGTAAAGGCAAGGAATAAGAATGAAGAAATGTAAGAAGAGTTTCAGAGACTTGTACAAGCTGACCAATGTGTGCTTTACGGGAGTCTCAGAAGGAGAAGAGAAAAAAGGGAAGAAAGAATATTTGAAGAAAAAGAATTACAATTCCAAATTTCAATGAAAGAAGTGACTGCAAATTCAAGAAGCCCAGTGAGACCTAAATAGGATATATCTAGACTCTAATCAAAAACACTATAAAAAGACTATTGAAAAACTAAAATAAGGAGAGACTATTAAATAGAGGAAGCATATCAGCTCATCATATACACGGTATCCTCAATATAAGATTGTTGATTTTCCTTTAGAAACATTGGAAGCAAGAAGCCATATTTAAATAGTCAATGTATTGAAAGAAAGAAAATATCACGTGGGAATTCTACATTTGACAAAACAGTGCTTCAGAAAGTAAGGTAAGGGGCCTCCCTGGTGGTGCAAGGGGTTAAGTCTTAGTACTGTGAAAATATTGGCAACTAATACAGCACAAATTTAATCCCTGGCCACAGAGTTAACCCACATGGTACAGCAGACCTCTCCTGTCTTATCCGCTGCTCCCAACTCTGTCTCTGGTGAATCCTCTCACCCTACCCTCTCATACCTCTGGCCACCCCAGCTCTTGTATGTAAAAATAAATCTTTTAAAGAAAACTAAGGAGAAATCAAACATTCCCAGATTTATAAAAAAGGGGAGGGTGTTGCCCATGAAACGTTTTCTTCAACAAATGCTAAGAAGAGTCCTTCAGGTTGAAATTTCACTATTGTATGACTGTTATGCACTCTATTTACATAAACCTGCACACTTAGGTGGCATGGTATAGCTGACAGGGACTATCATTATCATATATGTGACTTCTCATTGGCTGAAACATTACTATATGACGTGTTAGTTCAAAAATACAAATGAAATGCAAAGTGAATGCATGGAAAATGATGTTCTATCCAAATAGTAATTAGAAAAGCTGGGATAAATATATATATATATATATATCCAATAAACTAAACTTTTAAACATAAAGTACAGCAGACAGATACTATATATTAATAAAAGTTTCAATCTAACAAAAAGATAAGAGAGCTTTAAACATTTATAAACATAAAAACAGATCCTAAAAATTTATGAGGCAAAACTGTACAGAATTGAAGGGAGAAATATACACAGTTTTACATTAATAGCTTTAGACATCAGTACTTCACTTTCAATAGAGGGCTGGAATAATGAAATAAATAAAATATATCTAACAGAATTGCAGAACACTCTTCCCACTGGCAATAAAGTGTATATTCTCAATGCACATGGGGCATTCTGTAGGACAGGTATACAGGCTTCAAAACAAGTCTAACTAGATTTGAGAAAATAAACATTACACAGGATCTTTTGTGACTAAAATGAAATTAGAAGTCAGAAGAAAAAAGAAAATTCACATTTGTAGAAAGTAGCCCACTTCAAACCACCAATGGATCAGAGAAGAAATGACATGGGAACTTAAGAGATGAAAGAAAGTAAGAACATAAAGCATTGCTGAAAAAAATTGAAGAATAGCTAAGAAAATTTTAAAAAGACCTGAAAACATCTGTGTTCATGGATAGGAAATTTTAATTGTGTTAAGATGTCAGTACTACACAAGTAGTGTATGGATCCAATGCAGTCTCCATCAGACTTAACAGTCTTTTTGGTGGAAATGAAAAACTCAAATTCATATAATTGCAAGTCACCAAATAGTTGAAATAAAATTGTAAACTATGAATTTGGAAGGTTCACAATTTGTACCTTTGAAACTTACTATAAAGCTAATAATTAAAACTATAATATTGGCATAAGGGCAGGAACACAGAACAGTGGAGTAAAATAGAGTGTACAGAAATCCTTACACACATAGTTTATTGTTTTTGATGAGTGCCAAGTCCATTCATGCAGGAAAGGACAGATTTTTCAACATGTGGTGCTAGGACATCAAAAGAATGAAATTGCACTTATTTACATAGTATATAAAAATTGACACAAAATGGACCGTGGAAAAACCTAAACTTAAGGACTAAAACTAGGAAAACACAGGGGAAGTCTTTGTGATTTTGAATTTGGTAAGGATTTCATGGATATGCCACTAAACGTAACAGTAATTTGGACTTCATCAAAATTTAGAACTTGAGTGCCTCAATGAATACTGTTAATGCAACACAAGCATAAGAATGGGAGAAAATATTTGCAAGTCCCATCTAGCAAGAAATTCACATCTGCAGTACAAAAGGAGCTCCAGTAACTCAACAACAAACAACCCAATTTGAAAGTGGCTCAAGAATATTTCTTCAAAGATGTACAGTTGGTCTATGAACAGAAATTAGATGAATGCTACAAGAAATTGTAAGGGCAGAAAACTTTCGCTGTTTTAAATTGGATTAGATAGTCATTTTTATGTGAGCAATCATCAATGTACAATCAGTTATGTTCACCTAATAAAATTTTAATGGTTTACAAGATTTTTAAAATATTCTTTTTCTAAGCTAGTCATTTAGTATATACTGATTCTAAATGTATCTGAGAAAGTAATTCCTTGTGACCTATTGCATTTGGAAATCTTAATTTAAGAATTTAAGAAAATCTGGGTATTTTTATGATGAAGACTGAATTTTTTGTTAAATATGACATTAATGAACTGCAGTGGCTAATGTGAATGCATTACTTCCTCACTACATGTGTATAATTTTTTTAAAGAGAAGGAATTCAGAACCTAGCCTATATGAATTTTGAGTCCTGGCTCTACCTACTACTAATGTGTAATCTTGGACAAGTTACTTATTTGTGTGTCTCAGTTCTTCAGCTTTAAAATGGGGATAAGAGTAGTATAACTACATCATAAAATTGTTATGATGATTAAAACTCATTTAAATTGATAATTGACATAATTTTATAGGATTATAATTATAACTTATCATTATAAGTTCTTAAGTGTGAGTTTAAGTAAGTTCACTGGGGGACGGTTTGGCTGGGTCAGAGAGCAGTAATATAAAGACTCTTAGACTAAAGTAGAAATCAATAGGAAACTGCTATTCACAAAGATCTTTAGTTTTCATAACTGTTCCAGAATATAGTTAGTAGAATCAAAGTCTAGGTCCTTGCTTGGGAGACTGAATTACCTTTCTTTTTCTTTCTCCCTTTCCCTGCTTCCTCTTTCTACTTTCCCTTCTTTTCCACCTGTTCCCTTTCCTCAGTTCTTCCTCTTCTTCAGATATACTGTGCATACTGGATTTTAATAAAATATTGACCACGATAGCCCCTAAGTTATATGTTTTTATTTTTTTAAGAGCATGGTATCAGAGGAAGAGACCTTGAAAAAACTGTACAAGAATAATATTCCACCAACTTCTCATCTTTCTGTCAGAACGCCAAAAAAGGTAGCTTTTCAATTTTATTTCACAAAGCAGTTTTCAAAAGTAGACCTTAATTTTTAAAAGTTAAATATATTATTATTTTATTTTATTTTGTGTTCAGACCCCTTCATCGTTAACAACCCCTGGGCCTACATTGAAGTTTGGAACGATGAGGAAAATGCAGGAGGACCGTTGGGCTGCAATTGCTAAAATGGATAGAAAGAAGAAACTCAAGGAAGCAGAAAAACTTTTTGTTTAATTCCAGATTATCAGTATGATTAAGGAGCCTATAACATGAAATTTGTTGTTAATTTTTTTATAATTTCCTAAGGGGCCAAGCTCTTTTGCAGTTTAGACTTTTGATATTTTCATAAACAATTTTTCTTTATATTTTTAGATCTTAAATGTGAAATAGCCAAGTGCTATTTAAATGAAAATATGTATTCAGATAGATGGTTATATTTTGCTTTTTCCTTTCTTGTATTCATAACTATTTGGCTAAATCTTCAAATTTGTGAAGGTAACCACTGAATACTAGGGATACATTATTGAGATTTATTCTTTATTTACTATCAAAATATTTCAGATGCAAATAAAAAAAGCTTCTTGTTGATTCTGTGGCATCATCTTTTATAATATTAAAAATATTTTTAGTATTCATTTTTGATTGAAGTGACATTGTATTATAACAATATATAAATGCAAATACTTTAATTTTCCAGAAAGTATGTTCCTCCTTTAATTTGTACCTATGATTATATTCTGATAGATAACAGTCTTGAGGTGTATAGCTTCTGATCTCTTGATTAAAACTTTATAGTTGGTCTCCTGAGCAGGTGATTTTTGGAAGATTTTAATTATTGATGATATTTCACATTTGAAGTTATGTTTTGAAACATTTTAAATAAAACATAATTAGTGTATTGGTTAGGGTAGCATTAGTTCTCTAGCTACAAATTTCACTTAGCTAAAGTCCAACATAATATTCCTGTTTTAGTTAAGAGCATTCTCGGAAGCAGTGACTTAGGAAACTTGCCGCCTTGTAACCTTTACTTCTGCCATCTTCAACAACTGGCTTCCAAGTTTACTGCAAAAGGGGAACAGGATTAGAGTTATTGTTTTCCCTATTGAATGTAAACTTCACAAAGATAGAATTTTGTCTGTTTTTTTAATGATATATACTGAGTGGCTATAACAATGCCTGACCCAGGGTAGGTACTCCATATTTGTTGGATTGATTAAGTGAATATTAATATGTGTTTCAGAAAACCCTACATATATTATACTGATGGTTTTTGCAGTAAATACAATTTAGAGCAAAGCTCTTTAGTACATGTTCAAATATTAGAAACACTGTTACAGTAGCCTACATTTGACTTTTCCACTTTGAGCTCTGGAAAGTCAGTTTTAAAACCTAAAATAAATTTCTTCCCTTTTTTAACATTTATACCACTCCTATAAAAGCACTAGAGTAAGAAAAACAACTTACTGCAAATTTTGAGGTCAAGGTATTCATTTGTGGTAACTCATCAGAATATTTTTTTAATCCTGCAAATCAATTAAAAGAATTTGAAATAGCACTAATGAACAATTGGAAATTTAAAATTTGATTATTATGGAGAATTTGTAAGCCAGTTACACAGTTAATGTCTTTTAAAAAATTGAATGCAGTTTAGCGATTATTATAGTAAGAAACTTTTTGTCATACTCCATTTTTAGTTTGGTAGGAAACTGTGTGCTCTTTAGTCACTCTTTGAAGGCATTGAATGAATCTGACTGATGCATTTAGGAGAAACTGGACATATGGTACGGGGCCCAGTCTCATCTCTCTTGGACATCTCTTCCTGCTTCAGAGGGCATGTAATGTGATCCATGCTTTACAGGGTGGTCTTTGCCATTGCAGAGGGATGGTTCTCTAGAGAGGGGATAAATTTAACTTGGGAGAGTATTAGCAAATCTCAGTTTTTTTTTTTTTTGTAAAGATTTATTTATTTCTGCATACAGAACTGGGTTACAGGCCAGAGATTCAGGGGCGGTGAGAGGATTCACCAGAGACACAGTGGGGAGCAGAATAGGCCGACTGACAAGTACACTGCTGAGGGGAGCAGCGGGCAGGTCAGGAGAGGTCTGCCGCTCAATGCGGTCATCTCAGGGCCAGGCGGGGGGATCAAACTCATGCGAAAGTAGCTTTAGCTTCTCAGTGCTGTGCTTTAACCCACTGTGCCACTAGGGAGGGCCAAATCTCAGTATTTTGATGAATAGGATAGACACACTGAGAAGGAAATAGAGTGAAATTTAGAGGAGCTAAATAGCATACTAATAATGAACCCCTAACGTGACTTTAGTGGTGGTGCTTTGAACAGTAGTCCACAGGAAATACCTTTTGGTTTGTCACTGTAAACTATTGTATCCTTGTTTTTTACATTAATTAGTAGGTTCTGAATCTTAAGTAAATGGTGTATAAGCTTTGAAGCAAAAATTAAACCTCATAGTTTGTGTTTGTGAATCTGTAAAGATATAGACTCTAAAAAGGGTTGCACTGATGGGGATTCAGTTAAATATTGGCTATAATAAAAGCAAATAATAGCTCCATTAGACTAAGAAATGGGACTCAATCGAGGTCATATTTGACATACATTTTGATAAGGAACCAAGGAAGTTTGCTGACAGATTGGTTGGAGTTAAGGTGAGGGAAACACAGTATAAGGTTGAATTTTGAAGTTCTATTTTGGGCTTTGTAATACTTGAGATATATTAGGTATCTAAGAGAGTAGGTCATTGGTCAAATGATCCTGGAGTTCTCCAAAAGGGTCAGTATTTAGTAATCATTGGCCTATACATACCATTTTAAGTATAGGACTGAATGTGCTGTCATTACTGAGAATGAGAATGTAGTTTTAGAAGAGGAAAGAATTAGCACTGATCCTTGGGGGTTCTGGAACAATTTAAAGCCAAGGATTGGAGAGTTGCTTTCCTTAGTAAGCAGAGACTGGTGGGGTGTAAGGAACCAGGGAAACCCAAAGAACAAGTGATAAGACAGAAGTGATGTATTTCAAATCCTCCTGACTGGGACTACCTGCTTCAAAAAGCATAAAAATGAGCATTTGGACTTCTGTTATCTATACTATACACAATCTCTGCTTTCAATGGTTCCCACTCAAGTAGCAAATAAAAATATGTAAACAAATGAATCATAAAATAATTCAACATATGTAAGTGTAAGAGATACAAAGATGTAAATGATAATTTCATTTTTTGGCATCTCAGAAGTCCTTCTGGAAGAGGTGGTTTGGGGCATAAATAAGAATGTTACAAGTGTAAGAAGGACAAGAGAAGATCAAGGTGGAAGAAATAGCAGTATAAGGGATGAGTAGAAGAGTAGCTAACAGAACCAGACTGTGGTATCTTCATATCAGATATTGTGTGCTATGTTGCAAAATTTGGGCTGTTTTTTGGTTTGGAATGGAATGAATTTAAGCAAAGAAAATAAGACTTATTTAAAATAAAGTTTAAAATTTTACAAAAAGTGGAAGTTCTCTTGACAATTAGCATCTCCCCTCCAGTTGAAAAAAAAAGAAAACTTATTTTAAAAATGTCACTGAGGGTAAGTTGGAACATAGAGTGGCTATTGCAGCTATTTAAGTAATCCTGGTGAGAGAAGGGAAACTTTTATATGCTGAGTGTTTATGTTTTAGATTAGTCCTTTTGGACTTTTGGATTAACTGTAAGACCAGTTCTAAGAAAATATCCACAACTTTAGCACTCTAGCAGTAATAAAATATCTCCTGTTTCATGTAAATGTAAATTTATGATGTCAAAGAACAAGTTGCTTTGGTTGATATAAAGGTTAGAAATAAATTATTTATTATAATTAATAGTCCAAAGATATAGTAATACAACATGAACTTTAATCAGGGGCAGCCCAGCTGTGGGGTAGAAACAGGAATGACAAACAGGAGACAAGAAAGCATTATTTAAAGTTACAGAATCATACAGTTTAGAGCTGGAGAGAACTGAAAAAACAATTTTAGTAATTTTGAGTTCCAGAAAAGCAATCAAAGTTAAAAGAATTTTTAAAATGACTTAATTTATGTATATAATTTAATTCAGTATATAATTGTCTAAAATGTTGGTGCCTTCTCTTACAACTTTGTGTTTTCTTCCTCATTCTCCACACATGTCAGGGCTCCCCTTGCCGAATTCACCTCTTCTGGGTAACCCTTGACAAGAATCTAGAGTATATCCATTTACCCATCATTGTCGTTAGAATGAGTTAGCTAGACCATGAGTTTGGGGTGGTGGTTACTGTTGGCATAACTTACTCTGTCTTTCCTGATATCTTGGGAATTTGCTTTGCTTTAGTTTTCTGCATTAGAACAATGCTGTTAGTGCTTTTGTTTCTGTAGGTTGTGGTTAATTTTGGAATTCATGGGCTTATATTATTAAGATTTTTAATATTTGTTGCCTGGGAGTGATAGTAAAAATATGTAATCATGGGTGTGGAAGTATAAAATATATGTCATACAAACAAAAGTTGAAATATTTTCTATGACAAAACATATTATGCAAAATAAACATTTTTTATGTGATGTTAAAGTACCTAATCTCTATCAGCGATTATATTTCTTTGCAGAGTGATTGTAAGAACTAAATAATAATGTAAGCAAAGTTCTGAAGGCCATACCTCCTGAAGTGGTGGTGATAACAGGTTACTGAGAGGATAAAAGGAATAATTTTTAGTATATCTTCATTCTACTCATTCCATAAATATTTTTGATATTTATTGTATTTTTCTTTATTCTGCAGGTTTCTTTGTTTCTCCAACTTTAGTGTTCTCCTGGCCTGGATCAAGGAGTATTTACTGTTCTCATACTCTACAATTTACCAGTGTATGATGAAATCTACTTATGTGAATGCGGTTAGCACCTTAACAGACATGCCATACCTCTAGTTTTAGTATTTTTTTTAAAAAGGTTTATGCATACAGAACTGGGATACAGGCCAGAGGTGCAGGGGCAGTGAGAGGATTCACCAGAGACAGAGTGGGGAGCAGAACAGGCAGATTGAGGAAGTACACTGCTGAGGGGAGCAGTAGGTGAGACAGGAGGAGTCTGCTGTACCATGAAGATCACCTCATGATTGAGTTCAGTCACTGGGATCGAACTTGCACTGAAGTGGCTGCGGCTAGCTAGCAGAGCTGCGCCACCAGGGAGGGCCCCCATTTTTAGTTTTTTGAAGGTAAATCCAGATTGCTTTCCA